AAATAAAATTGAAAGAAAAAAAATAAAATCATGATTTTTAATTATTTTAAAGGTAATTGTAGATTATAATTTTTAAGTCACATAAATGCTCATTAATTTAAAAGTTTTCGGACCCTTTACTTAAACATAATTTCTATCACGAAATTTGTGGAAAAAGTGTGCCTACAAAGGATTGTAGATATTTTTTGGAAAATATATACAAAATGCAAGTAGCTTTTATTTTAAAAAAAGGAAATGAGGGTATTTAGCATTTGAAAACTCATTGTTCCTTTCGTAAACTCCTTTATTTTAATTACTTTCAGTTTATATTAAAAAAATTAATTAAAAAAAATGGAAAATATAGTTCATTAAAATCGACTACATTTTGATTATATTTTAAAAATTTTAATGATAATTGTATTCAGTAATTAGGGCTGTCATAAAAAATTCATTTTTGAAATATTTTTAATAATGAAACTACATATTTTCTTTTTCAACTGTTTTGCTGTTATCTCTTAATTTATAGATTGCAAATATTTTCTTGGCTATTTTAGGAATACGAGTTAAGAAACAATGTCTAAACTACATAAATTTAAATATTTTTATTCAATTAGTTTCAAATGTTCAATTGAATTTTGAAAATCAATAGTCCAATGAGGGATATATATATATATATACATACATGAATGAATGAAACTAGACAACTCTATTTTGTGCTTTATAGCTTTATAAAGAACAATATCGCAATATCGAACATAAAATAATATTTAACAGTATTTTATATATATTTTATTCTAAAATGATACCTAATTACAAAATTAAAATTGGATATTTCAGTTAATAATATAATTCATACAAAGTTTTAAATTGGAAAAAAAGCACAATAAAAGAAAATGCAATCAAAAACAGAATAAAATATGATTTTAAATTAATCATTTTTTACCTCATCCATCAATAGTATTTTTTTAAACAGTTTACCTGTCTAAAACGCACTTTTTAAAACTTCCCCTCATTTTTCACCTTTTCTACAATTTATTTCTCTAACCAGTAGCATAACACAGCAGGCAATGCTCATATTAAACCAATGTTTCAATTTTATTTCAAGGAGAAATTAAAAAGGGGAATTCGTTTCTCTTTCTTTTTTTTCCCTTTAAAAGCACTCTTATATATATTTTTTTGTTTGCTTAAGGGGCAAAATAACGACTTTATTGGGATTGCACGGGTAGTATTTTTCAATAGCAGCGATTTTTTTTTCTCCCTTTTTGTATTTTTTGTGCTACACAAACGGGAGTTATGCAAGTAATCCGTTAGCTGGGCGCTGAGCATTAAAGATGAAGAGAAGAAGGAGGATCTGAAATTTTTCATTTCACGCTGGATAGTCAGGGATGGGCTTTTCTCCCTCCCGTTTCTGAATATCACGTCTCTTACTAGGCTTTCACGCTTTCATTTCATTTTTTTCTGGATTTTTTTCCTCCAACGGAAGTTTCGCAATTCATAAGATACAGATATTTGGTCATACAAAATTTGCTGCCCTATAAAAGAACGATTGGTGTGAAAGTGTCTCCCGTTTTTTTTCAGGAAAAAAAAAACTTCAACAAGCGGTACTTATCATATCATTTTGCTGCTTAAAATAGACATTATTGTTTCCTATAAAGAAAAGAAGTATTTATTTAAAAATATAAAACAAGTTATTAAACTAATGCTGAGTGAATGTTCATACTTATGTGGAAAACTGGTTTATTGTTCTATATATAATTAAGAGATTTTGAATAAATACTTCAAAATAAATCGAACTTCTCCAATTGGATATATTTTCAGATCCATTACGCTTTACCGTTACCAATTAGAATTTAAAATAAATTTCACAAGGTGCAAAACCGGACAGGATGTAGTTAATTTATATGCATTCTTATAATAAAGAGCAAGAAAAAATTCAGTATTTGAATTATAACGAAATTAAATGCAAGAAGGAAACCAATAATAGGGAATTAAAAACAATTTTTTATTCCGCATCTGTAAGAGAAATACAAAAAGCATTCCAACAACGGACTGTTGGGTGCTGTGGTAATCAAGACTCTACAATTTTGAGAAAAACGGCTTGATGATAACAATGTAGTTAGTATTGTGCACCCATTGCTTGTATTTATCAGACAAGCTGGTATTCATCGCTATAAAACTGAATGAGTTGCGAGACCCCACCGTATAAGAACTTCGGCATTTTAGGATGACAGCTCAAGGGTATTACTACCTCATACTATTTGAAACCATTTGCAAAATTATCCCTCTCTGAGAATAAAAAATTCAGATAGAGTCTTTAAAAGCCGTTTTAACATGTAAAATAAGCAAACAAAAATACCTAAAGAAAGATAACCTATTCTATCTAAGAAAGAAAGATGGTCAAAAGACTATCCGAACGTAATAAAATTTACCGTGTTTCTGGCAGTATAAAAAAACACAAAAAATGCACGGAAAATTTTACCGAAGTGGGTTTGTAATAAATTTGGTAAAATTAATGGTTATCTAATCTGTGATAAAATCTAGTAAAAGTGGCAAATTTTGCTAATTTTATCAGGGTGCCTTAGAGGCCATAAAAACCAATTATTTGTTTAAATCTACTTTTTTTGTATTTTGTACTTTATGTGGGAGCATTAAGAACTATAATTTTGAGTACCAGAATTTCCAATAAACTATTACCATACGAATGGAAAGATTACTAAATGAATGGTTTTAATGGATTTTATTTCATTAATCAAAATTATATATTTTTTTTTCAATAGAAATGCCATTACCATACAGTAAAATACTTTTACCAGATTTTTTTTCTCTGTGCAAGACTGAATAAAATGTTTCCAGTCATGCATACATTATGATTTAGTAAAGTAACGCATAGATTATTTGCATAGTATATAATTGTAATTTCTTTTACTATAATTAACGCTTTCTCTTTTTTTCAGCAAAGAAAAATGTTTTAGGTGTATTATAATACATGATAAGCATCCTAATGTATTGCAATACAGAGAAAGTAAGTTTAAACCATTTAATATTTCAAATAATTCAATTTCGAAATTGCATATTATTAATATATTACTGCACCTATTATGCTCTTTGCTGCTCCTATTTAATATTTATTCTCATGATGTTCTTAATTGGACTAAAAATTTTCAAAAATAAGTAAATAAATAAATAAAATTGAAAGAAAAACAATTAAGACTGTGGCACATTCAAGTGAAAAGGCATAAATTCATCTTAAACCCAGATAATAGAACCAAAAGGTTTTAATTGCAAAATTTACCGTCATATGGCGCTGTCCATTCCTTCTGTTTTTCCGTAGGAGGTGCTTTAAAGCAGAAAAAATGCAATATCTGATTACGACGAGGGAGTGTTTGTGACGGGGGACATTTGCAAAAGCTTGCAGTAGGATTTTTATTCATTGAAAGAATTAAAAGAAAAGAAAATAATTAGATTTTCAGCAGTTTTTTTTCAATTTACATACTTGTTACTTACATTTCAATCTGTTCAAATGAAATTTTAAAAATATATGAGCTCTGGGGGAGGGGCAATGCATTCCCTGTCACGTAAGTTTGCTACAAGAAAAAAAAATTCTGAAAATTTAGACGTTTTCCTACCACCTATTTTTAAAATTATATATTTGCATCCTGCACAGCACTGAGTAAAAGCTTATGACCAATAAATGATTTCACTACTTCTTTAAGTCTATTATTTTTTCTACATATAATTTTAAAAACTATATAAATCTTCTAAGAGATGCATATGAAAACTGTGTTGTATTCAAAGCTTTAGACTATTTGAAAGACAAATAAACAATTTTACTTCCTTGATTGTAATTAAATTTAAAGAACTATATATGAGTTTAAATGACTGTATAAATAACAACATAAAATATAGAAATTATTATATAAGTTGAAATAACTATATTTTTGCATTCATCACTCCATATGATTTTCTTAGTTGTTACGTGTTACGATATATGACCAATAATATTAAAATGAACCAGATTAACTATTTCATTTATTCTAAAATAAATACACAAGATTATGTAAATTACGTGTAATAACATAATGTACTAAAATGTGTGGACAATGAATTCCTCTCGCAAGGAACGTATTCACAAATCAAGCTGAATTTTATGTATAGATAGTTTTTTTGCTATTATTATTTATGAAATATTACACGCAAGATATTTTTCTATATCACTTCGATTGCAGAGGCATTACTTACTTTTTTGCGAAAACAATTGTATAGCATTGTAGAAATTTTGCAGAAATATGCGATTAATAATGGTAGGAAAAATCCCGTTTAAGATATTTATTAAAAGTAATTCCAAAACATTTCTTGTTAGAGTTCTAATTCAGCTAATAGGCAGCTTTTGATAGGTCAAATGTAGAAAATTGTGTGAGACTACTAAAAAATTACTAAATTATTACTAAAAAATATTAAACTTTTAATCTTACGTCATTTATGACATAGTCATTTATGTTTTTCGTCTGCAAAATAAAAGGGTAGTCAAGTAAAAAATATAGGTTTTGGCCATTTTTAACCTAATAATTATTCTGAAATTTTAAATAGACAAAATAAATTTTAGAATTGATCTTAGAACTCAAAAATATTCTTTGTAAAAAAAATCAGCCCGATTGGCAAGTGACACTTAGGTATCTTGTATGTCAGTCAAATGCAATTTTTGCTTAGTGCCATGCTACGAAAATCGTTATAATTTCTTCTCCTTTTACGGCGTATACTTTTAGATCAAAATAGTAATTTAATAACACATTTATAATTTTTATTTTACTTAAAATTTATTTATATTTATTTGCCTTGAATTTAAAACAAACATGGTTTTAAAATAAATTATAACAAGCACTTACATTATTTTTTTGAATTTGTGTAATTAATTTCTAATTAAAAAACTAGAAAATTTAATTTTTTTAGAAGCATATACTCCTCATTTGCTTAAAAAGTATATGCTTTTAAAGGCGAAGAACATATGACGTCGGTAAAGCTTGCAGAAATTTTCCTGCAATATTTAGGAAAACACGGTTTAAAAATAGATTTAGCATATATTTAAGATAATTTCTTTTCGTATTTTATATTTAAATTTTTGTAAAAATTAAAGAAAAACTACATAATATCTTCTTTTACTGCATATATTTTTCAGTAAAAATGAAAATTTATTAATGAATTTATTAATTAAAAAAATATTTGATTTATACTTTAAATAAAAAAATATCTATAAATATAAATTAAACAAATATTTAAATCATTTTCCTTTGACTTTAATTTTTAATAATTGTTCTTTCTGACAAACAAATATGTTTAGTTTAAAAAGCTTTCTTCAAAATAATCATGCCTTTTATTAATTAAATATTTAGTGTAATTGTAAAATTTTTTGTTACATGTTTTTAAAATCATGGTGCAGAAAACTATGTGCTGCCACTGGTCAGTTTTTTGTACTTTATGTAAAAATGCTGATGAGTAAAAATAATTAAACCATTTTATAGCTTACTGTGATGAACATAGGACGTTGGAGGAAGCCTGTAGTAGTTTAACTGTAGACAACCATTTGCACACAATGTTTAAAGGTAAGGAAACACTTTTGTTTTAATTTTAGTAGCAAATACAGTATTCATTGTAATAACTAATGCTCAAACTTCGTACAATAGACGCCTGAAATACTCTCAAGTATGACAAGCAAAATAAAAATGTTATTTAACCATACCCTACTCCATATATTTAGACATGACTGAATATTCGCTATAGATATATAAAGTTACTATTTATTAAGATTTTTATAAAATTTGTTCATTGCATGTTCATTAGTAATAATTATTAAATAATAAAGAAATAGTTCTCTTGGAAACTCATACGATCACTGATTTCATAATAAAAAGTATTAACAGAAACAAAACTGAGGGAAAATGGCTGTTTCTCATCATTTATTTATATGTCTTTATTAAAAGAATTTTTTGTAAATATTTTTATTTAATAAATTAATTACGCCTGTATTAAATGGAATGAAATTGCATTTTTTTTCAAATACAGAATTAATATGTAACGTTTTGTTCACATAATAAATAAAATACATAAGTTTAATTTTTACATTATTGTGCATGTTTCAAACCAAACCACATTAAAATAAGTCTGAATATTTTTTCTCATAAAACCCTGTCAGGTAGGATAAGTTAAACCCTTTTTTCAAGGTAATTTTCACTAGAAGAAAGAGATTTTTCAATTTTTAATTTTCAATTAACTCGAAAATGGAATATTGCTTAGATAATTTATGCACTTTTTTTTTACTATGGGAAAATGAAATGTAGGGCAAAGTTGTGACCACGCAACGAAAAAAAAAATCCACAAAAATTATGTACACGTTGTTAAGTATAATAGTCAATTTGTAAAAAAATTATATTTTAAATAATGCTGTTGCCTTTTCAAGGAATTTCATCAGCAGAAAACATTCAGATTAAAGTCACATAATTTTTCAATAGCAATTAAATTTTTAATGCAGACTTTAAAAAATATTGATTTAAATTGAAATTAAAAATCAATTAAGTAATTAATATAATTAGTTAATGTAAATGTTTTTTTATGTAAATGCAATTTCTTAGTGTAGCAAATTTTCACAAATACAAACAATATGGCAAAATTTGAAATTTAAGCTTCAATATAAAAATTATGTTCGATTAATTAAAATTAAATTAATATAATTTTTATTTTAATCATATGCTAATCCATAAAAAATTTATATCCTTATAATTATTCTTATCCCCAAGGGAATAAAACGTTACTGTTTATTATTTTTATTTTTTGAAACAGACAATGTAACAATTTTTATAATTTGCAATTTATTAAGCGACTAAAAAATCAATTTTATATAAATTAAAACTGAATCAATATTATTAGTATTAATCTATACCACTCCATAAAAAATTAATATCATTATAATTATTGTAATGCCCAAAGAAATTAAACGTAACTGTTTAACTGCTTTTTTTGCATCCTTTTTTATAATGCATATTTTTAATTGTTAAAAAATAGTCCAAAACATCTTCTTAACAATGCTTTCTTCCTTTGCAGTTATCTGTGCTGTTTCAAATTTATTAACCTAATACCATAAAACCATATTTAAATAAATCAACCTTTTAAATAAGCATATTCCATGAAGAAATTGAAACAAAAAATTATAAAAATAAAACTATCCCCCACTTACTTTACAAGAGATTTAGAGCAGCCATCAGGGGATTCCTCATTTTTTTCTTATTTTTTTAAACGCATGCCTCCCGCCAATTCCAAAAAAGGTAAGTGTTATTTCACCAGTGGGTAACATTACCGTTAAAAGAAAGTGTCTCCTATTCATAATAAAAAAAAGAAGTATGCAATAATATACCTTAAACAAAATAAAAATATTTGATAGCTTGTAGTTTGTGGACCTTTTTGATGGTGAAAGTTTCAAACACGAATGCATAATTATGTACTAAGCAGAAATGTCTAAAGAAGCATGGTTTGTGAGTGTTAAAAGACATAAAAGAGCGTTTGCTTAGACATAGTGGCAAAACTTATGATAAAGAGAAAATATCTTTCATCTCATGGGAAATTACGTGAAGAAAAATCGAAATAATGTTGCGGTCGATGGTAATGATAACTTTGCACGTGAAACTTCCATTACGACGGCTTTAAGAAAATGTATGTCAGTGGTACCGTTTTATAATGTATTTTCAAGTTATTCCCTGTTTTGGCACCTCGGAATATTAGTTATTCATTGTCAGTCAGAAAGTAAGTGTACATAGATCTACAATACCAGTTGCAAAAAAATATTTTCCTCCATTTCTTTTAAAACAACTGACATTTCGTTTTTTTTTCTTTTTCTTTTTAAGAAAATACTGAAACCAATTCTAAACTAAATTCGTAATAAATTTCAAATATTAATGTAATTTTAAGATACAGTTTTGATTGAAATATAAATTAAAAATGCTATAATATTTCCCTGTTTTGTCACCTCGGAATATTAGTTACTCATTGTCAGCCAGGAAGTAAGTGTACATAGATCTATAATACCAGCCCGCAAAATTGTACTTTTTCTTCCGTTTATTTTAAACAACTGGCATTCTGATTTTTTTATAATCTAATATTTACGTAATATGAAAGTAATTTTACGATTCAATATTGATTGAAATGCAAATTTAAAAAATAATATATCGATGAAATGTAATTTTAGTGTTATAATAATTTTTCCTGGTTTATGCATCTCGGATTATTAGATATTCGTTGTCAGTCAGAAAGTAAGGGTACATAGACATACAATAGCGCTTGCAAAAATGTACTTGTCTCCCCATTTTTTAAAACAACTTTCTGGCATTCTAATTTTTATTTATTTTTATATAAATACTAAAACTAATTTTTACGTAATAAATTTTAAACATGAATGCAATTTCACGATCCCTGCTTGCTTGAAATATAAATTTGAAAAATAATAAATCAGAAATATGGAATTCTAATGTTTTAATTTTTTATCTTCCACTAATGTGAAAACAAAAATGCTTAAAAAGGCAAAATAAATTCAGAGTTTAGAGTCAAAACACCTAATATTATTAGTATATATATTGGGTTGTTTTGATTTTCGATTTTAATAATTGTGTTGTATATATATTTAAATGTATACATTTAAAAGAAATTTCAAAAATTTTGTCTGAAACCCTTAAGACAACTAGGTTTAAAAAAAATACCGAAGAAAAAAGATAAATATACATTATCAAACTTTTCGAAAGTTGTAGTAACAATTTAATCAGTATTAAATTGTGAACTATCACCATAATTATGTAAGTATTTTCCATGAGATGTCTACTGATTTTGAATAGTTATGGTCATTACGAATTCATTTAAGATAAAATTCAATCTACTTTATCTGTCAATATGTAAGAAGTTAAACCGTAGAAAAAGCATGTTTTTCAAATAAGTGCCTATAATAACCTGGAACTTAAGAGAAAAGCTTAATGAAGCCTAAGAGAAACAAGAAAACAACATATCTTTCTCAAAGTTTCTTATTAATGAAAAGTTTTGTCCTTCCTCTCACTGGCTAAAGGTTTAATTCCACATATTTTTTCATCATACTTTGGTTGTTTCAATGCTTGATTTTTTTTTAAAAAAAAGTCACATCCACTTGTTCAGAAAAGTTTTCCATGCTTAGTTTCATTGAACATAAAGGTGAAATAACCAGCAGAAATAATAACACCAGGTGAAATAACCAGCGGTTTGTCCGATAAACCATAAAGAGTATGGTTTGGAACACTGCTTCGTCGTTACGGGTTTGAAACCGTTTGCAACAGGTACCGTTAAAAATTTGCAAATACAGAACTATGCAGTTTGTTAACCATTTACAACTAGCATAGTTTCTAAGCCATAAAAGGACATTGGAGCTCTGTGGGGGTTGCGTCATTTATGCAAGAATGATAGCTAAATAATCTAATTCTTCAGGGTCACCTATATAAGAGTTCAGGACACTGGAAACTTTTAATGTATTGAAGGAATATAAGAAATATTATATAATCCATTCAGGGAGTTGAACCCCTGCTTAGTCGTTCATGACGTTGACCGAACATGACATGATTCATGACATTGACTCCGAACATGACATGATTCATGACATTGACTCTTACACAATTTGGCTTCACAAGGTGGGCCTTGTTGGCGCGGATACAATTCTGGTTGTTAAACCTTATTAGGTAAAAAACGTACTAGGTAAACACAATCAATAAAAAAATTTCCGTACAGCTAACTGTTTGAATATCATCTTTTTTTAGGGACTGTTGTGGTTGAATATGGTAAAATAACAATTAATTATATTGCTATTAAAACCTTTTTTCCGAGAGTTTTCCAACCATGCGTAATATGCTACCAGACTCAAATGTAAATTGCACCAAAATGACATTTTTTTTAGCTGTGACGTTCTTCTCAATCTAGTGAAACTTCAAAAATAAAAAAGGGACTTTCTTATAGGGCCTTTGCTAGCACAAGGTGCAAAAATGAACCGGGAATGTCGGAAAGTCAATTTCTCACATTCCATTGCATCTACAGAATGAGTTCCGTATTTCATCTATTCCAATCCATTGTGCTGTAAAATATGGACTATTTTTTGACCAAGTTCTCTATTGCTCTTCACAGAGTACTGAAATTATTCCACAAACACTTGACTTTCTGTATCAATAAAGAGGGGGGATACTTTGAAGATATTTAATAGTAATATATTTTCCTAAACAATCTTATTAATGGTAGTTTGCATCATTTCTCAGGTATTTTTTTATTTATTTTTTAATAAAATTAAATGTAATTTGTTAAACTTTTCACCCTAAGGAAAAAAAAGTATGATCAAGGCTTCTAGAATGTGGTATACTGTGGTTGTGGTTCCATGGAAACACGAAAAAGTGCGGAAATTTTAATCGAGACGTTTTGCTAAAGATTTTTGTGAAAATAACACTAAAATATTATTTTATAATATCTGTTCGAATTTGATACTTTTATCATGATAACTCAGAGCATGGCCTAACAACCATTTATTCGGTAAAGCTCTTAAGTAACAAAGCTGTTACAGTATGTTAAGTTCAGTCAGTTTTGCAGTTTTTACTAAATATATGGTAATAAGAACTATAATTTTAAAAGCCAGAATTTCCGGAAAACTGTTATCATATGAACGAAAAGCATTGCCATATCAATTGTTTAAATACCCTAGTACTTAGTTTTATTACTACAATTATTTATTTTTTAACCAGAAATCTCTGTAATGTACGATAATTTTTCCAGAATTTTTTTTCCGTATGACATACCGTAAAATTCCGTATAACTTAATAAAACAAAATAAACCTATGAATGAATGTCATATACTATATATTTAACAGTATAAATATTTTTTCCTTCTTATATTTTCACAACTGTGCATATAACCATTTGTTTTAGTGCTATTTAGAACTGGCAATATCTGAAATTCAAATATTTTATTGTTTTAATTAATATGAATTCAAAATCAAGTTTATAATTATTAATTAATTTCTAGTTACACTTTTAACAGGTTTTTTACATGTTGCAATTATAATTTTCAAGCTTTTAATACTATGTCTTAAATAAGAAATAAAATCCTCTTACAATATGTCTATCACAAATGGAATTTGATGTTACAGATTTTTTTTTATTTAAACCAAACAACATTTTAACTAAATCAAATTAGACTCTTTTTTCCTATACATTTTATTTGTGATTTTAAAAAAATACAATAGGATTTCACAAACGGAAAAAAAGCTTTAAAAAAGTATAAATCAAAAAAGTATTTATTTTTTATCAATCTTTTCCAAAGAAATGCAAACTATCCTGACTATTTTTGCATCTATTAAAAAAAACACAAAAATAAATTAGATTTTTTCGCGCTATGATAAAAAATATATCCAATAAAACATTAGAGTGGGCGTAGGTTTTTGTAAAATGAACTACACATATGCTAAATGGACTTTATTGCCTTATTTTTCAAAACATTATGAAAAAAAAAAGAATCAACATTTATGCAAATTGTTAAAAATATTTAAGAGTATTAGTGAATAGTCATAAATTTAAAAATTGTGACTACCTTTCTTTAGTTAATATTACAAATATATCACTGAATAGCCTAAGGATAAAAAATTTTAAATTGTGAACTGTTTCCAGACAGAAAGATATATGTTTCGAATAATAAAAGATAGACAGATTTGTAAGTTTTAAGGAATAACGCTTTATTTTTTTATTTCCAGATAAATATATACTAATAAATTTGAAAGTATTTTCAAGAAAAGGATTACAGCTAAAAAAATAATTTGAAAGATGAGATTAATATTAAAGATAAAAGTAAAACAAACTGTTAAATAAGATAAAGAGGGCACCTAAAACAATTATCCATCATATTATTATCTAATATATGATTTAAAACTAATATAATTTTTTTTAGTTAATATTACAAATATGTCACTGAAAAGTGTCACTGAATTTTTTACTATGAACTGTTTGCAGACATAAAGAAGATATAAATTTTATTTTTTAAACAGTAACAATACTTCATTTTATAATACCAGAAGAGTTTATAGTAATTAATATAAATGTAATCATAAGAAAATTATTACAGCTAAAATAATATACGAATATAATATTATTATTACGAATATGAGAAACTGAGAAATAATATAAAGATTACAGATGAAAAACTAGACATATTAGCAAATACGCCTAAATTTAAAATTCTGTGCTATTACACTCCCAGCAAAGACAGATTAACGTTAAACCATAACATCGGTACCATGAACAACAATGAAGCGCACATTTTCTCCAATCTTAATAAAGTATTAAATTGAACTGAAGTGGAATCATTGTTTCATTGTTGAATCATAAACAATAACTTTATTTAAATTGAAATATAGTATTGCGTAATCGAATTTAAGCAGTGCGATATTATGATTCAATTATCTCTATTAAGAGCTGCAGCAAATTTAAGCAAGTTTTCTAAAATTTATTTGCTACTTTAAAAAGTTCTGCATTCGCAATCAATTTCTAAGATATTCTCTGATCTATAATACGAATATGTTCTCTTGAGCTCTTATAACTCAATATCAATTATTGCAGTGCGTTCCTCTCCTGTGTCGTGCCCTTTCAAAGGACCCTTCACCTTCAATTATAGCCGTGGTCAAGGAGAGTGCCGGCATCCTCCATCAACAATTGACACCTGCACTGATGACTCTCAGTTACTGTTCAGATTTCAGGCTTGTGCTGATGTTATTGGAACAGAGAGTAGTGGTAAGCTAAGCATTTTATGCTTCTTTATTTATTGTTAAAAACTATATTAATTCCGTGAAATAATGCTTCAGTTTTTAATTATGAACTATATTATGAACAATAATTTATCAGAAGTACGCTGTAAAAAATTCCGGATCAAATTCCGGTATAAATTATCGGCACTTTGAATACATTATCGGTGGAGTCCATTTTTACCGCAATAGCTTACGGAGCAAAACCTGTGACCTACCGTAATTTTTGCAGCAACAATTACCGTAAAATCACTGAATAACATTAATTATATAAATATTACTGTAAAAATTACGGTGAAGTATATTTTACGGATGATGCACTCAAATTGGCGGTTCTTGATACCGTAGTTTATTCCGAAATTTAGAAATTTCGAAGCAATTATCATACTTGTTTGTTTTCTTTTTTAAAAGCTAAGGATATTTTATGTAAATTACTTCAATATTCTTATTCTTTGTTTGAAAAGATTAATAGCTTTTTTTCATTAAATATGTTAAATTTTGTAATGCATGTAACATTGAAATGTATTTCAGATTAGTGTAATATGCAGTTTCAAAACTTAACAAATTATCTTGAAGAAATTAATTTTCAATGCTCAGATTTCTTAAGAATAAAATGCTTTTGTATTGAGCTGAAAAATTTTACTGAAAAATTAAGATAAAATATTTTTCTCTAGAATTATATTATGTATACGAAAATAGTATATATACAACATTATAAAATGCTTAAGACTTAGGTAGAGAGTCTGAGATGCTTAAAAATTCCTAAATATAACAATAAAAGATAGAAGTAGCGTCGTTAATATGCATAAAATACTTTCGATATAAGTTGATGACATACCATATTCATATTCTGTTATTAATTAATAGCAAATATAAACTTAATGCACTATTATTAATCAACGATTAAATGGTGATATTATGCATAAAACAGTGTATCGAACGCGTAAAGCAATTACAAACGCAGTTTATACTTGAACAATAACTTTCATCAATAAGAGCATTTAAACTTTAACTTTTGAAAGAAAATGCAGATTAAAATATCCTTCTATTCATGTAGAAATTTTGCAATATAATTCCTCAGAAAAAATATAATTCCTCATTACTTAAAACTTGAAATCTCTTTTGCTGTAAATACTTAACGAATAATAATTGCGAGACTGTTGGAGAAAATATAGAAATTAAGAAATATACATGTTTAATTTACATACCTACTACATTAAGATTTGGATAATATGAGATTTGGTAGATTAAATTAATAAATAACATAACTGACGAGTGTTAAAATACGGAATACTTCTCTCCGCTGAGCAATTAATGCTGTTGCAGTTAGTAAGCAAAGATGAGTTGAGTCATGAAAGCAACTGATTAAGCGTGATTGTCATGTGATTTACGCGGCAAAAGAGACCGAAGCCTGGGGAATTTTATATGTCCCTGAAAATATAATTGTCAACCATATTTTGACCAATAATATAAACTATGGTGGGTGCCACATATCAGAAAACCCAACAGGGGATCGAAGTTTAATCAGAAAAGGCTCCCTATTTATATGACTTTTCCACACCTGCCTTCAGCAATCAACTCTCGGCCTGATCACTTGCTTTTACTGGGTATAATTATGAAATTCAACCGTTCACTTAATCACATGAAATAAAATTATTTAACCATGAATGCATAAGATTTAGCTTCAGGAAATTATTTTCTAATCATGTTTACTTAGTAAACCATGTTTACAAAATAGTTTAATTCGTAAATTCAATTATTTCCTGGGTAGAAATTATACGTCTTGTTTTTATTTAACTTATTCAAAATTATTTTCCTATATCATCTGCATTTTCACTCACGAAATTTGCGTTTGTTTCAAACAACAAAAATAAATTGAAAATTGTGTTAACAAGTTTCAACAAAATATAGTCATCTTAAGTAAGTAAAGTTCTTAAGGTCTATAAAATTTTATGTTAAAATAAATAGTTAGTCATAAAACACTGTAAAAATTTGAATCAAAATACGGTATTTGTGTACATCATAAGTACATTTTTACCGTACCATTTTTACCATAAGTACATTTTTACCGTACCATTTACCGTACATTTTGCCGCAAAGTACATTTTTACAGTAAAATATTATACCGTAATTTTTAAAGTGATTAAATGGTTTTACGGAAATTATTACTGTAAAATATACGATAGATAAATTTTTTTGTTCCATAACATATTCTGATAGTAATAAATTTTGCGTTAAAAATTATCATCAGCCTCAGTGCCGGTACGTTTTACCATAATTTTATCCGGAATTTTCTTACAGTGTAAATCGAATTTTTCACATCTTTATGCTTCAAAAAATTGTAGTATTTAAAATTGTAGTATTTAAATGCAAACAAAACTTGAATACGCAGGCTTTTAGTTTATTAGCAACTAGCATGCAAAATAACTAATAATTCAGTGAAAACTAAATTTTTATGTCTTGTGATATTATTAATTGGTAAAAATATCGATTTATACTAACAAAATACTCAGTTGATATATTATGAATCTCAAAAAAGAAGAATTTATATTATTTGAAAATATTTCCAAAATTTCTGAATATTATTAATTCTTAAAAATAATGATTTAAGTAAGCAAAACGCTCATTTGCTTCACTATAAATCTAAAAATAGGTGAGTTGATAGCTGAAATAAAGTAACAATTATATATTTATTTTATATATTTAGATTATAATAATTCCGTACCGTAATAAAATTATTGAGGCATGAAAGAGAAGAATTCAGCCCTAGGAAATTAACTTCTAATCATGTTTACAAACTAAATTAACTTACCATTAAATAATTTAATTCATAAATTTAATCATTTCTTGGGAAATAAACATACGCCTAACATATCTTTAACTTATTCAAAAGTGTCTTCCAACGGAAAATATCATTTGCATATTTGCCCACGAAAGTCGTATTTGTTTCGAACAGCCGAAACAAATTGAAAAGAGTGGTAAGCACATTTCAACAGAATAGCAGCAATGATTGAAAAATCATGTATTGCTAATTCACGGGCTTGTTCACCCGTTCGAAATCCTTCGCCGCGTTAGTTCAATCTATCAAAAGACATGATGGAATTTTTCTTTTTACAGAAGAGGAATTAACTTGCCTTGCAACTTGGAAAGAAGGTTCTGCACATTATTTAGTGGGTAAAATGAAACCAAGAAAAAGTTACGCTGTTCCACATGGAGATGAAAATTACTACAGATGTTTCGTAAGTGCTTCTTTAATTTTATTAGCGACTGAAAGTACTTTTTCTACTTTTTCTTTTACGTCCCTTTCACACATTTTTAAGATTATTAAATAATTGTGTCGTGAGTTTGGGTTGACCTAAAACTCATCCCTTTCAAGATGCTATTTACTTTTATAGCTTAACTTTTGATGAATCTCATCTTAAACCGTGTACTTGGCATTATATTTTCCAAATTTTAATTCAGTTCATTTTTTATTCAGAAAAATGTTTCGATAATAAAGCGGGGGATGCCCTTGTACCAGAGCCTTATTGTATTTTTTTTTAGTATCAAAGTATTATAGCGGTCGTCATGTATCACGTTTTATATACAACCATTCACGGAAAAGAAGGGTTTAAACGTCGGTACTTAAATTCAGGAAGTCGTAAAACTTAACCGCAGGCTCTGCAAGAATATCTCAGTCACTTGAAAACTCTCAGCATTCAATTATTTCCTTAAGAATATGTTCTTCATATTCTAGCTTGCGTAATGTCATATGGTAAATGATTGAAAAAGATAAATTATGCATAGTATTTTAATACTATAAGACTTTAAATATGGATGTTTTATTTAGACATTTTTATCATAAATTTTTTAATTCCCATTGTTGAAAGACGTAATCTAATTTGATTTAGATTGATACAGTTTTGTAAGTGGAAATTAATGGTTAAGTGAATACTGAGTATTCCTTTTAATCTCTTAAGATATTGCTGCCTTTTGAGTGATGTGTAGAGTTAATGAAAAAAATTGTCCTTTCCCTTAAAAGGAATGTTTTGCTTGGATTGCAATGGAAAGTAGGATGCAAACAATATTTTCTTTTTCGTGGACTCTTAAAATATACCATTTTTTGTACATGGCTGCCAAGTTGTTCGCAATTTTCTTTTAACTAATGGCAAAATGATAATTAAAATAGGAAAAAAAATAAAAATAGTGTACCTTGCCAACAATTTAAAAATGAATTCCCAACTAATAGATTAAATGTAAAAAAAATTGTTTTGATTTGTTATAATGGCTAAAACATTGTTAAATTTAAAAAATAAGATTTATATATTAAGACATAAATATTTCTTTCAGAAAGAAAGATTTTACTCAATGACTGTACCATTTAACACTTAGGCTTATACATTTCAGAGAGTGAAAGAAATTTGTAATCACATATTAGCTATCAAAGACACAAAAACTGCTAAAATTCCATACAACTGTTTAAGTTACAAATTAATCTCTCCCTCTCTCTCTCAATATATATATANATATATATATATGGAGTAAATGGTCTCATTTGCTAGTGTTAACTCGAATAAATTATAAGGGAATCTGGTTGTTTAACAACAATTTTCTTAAATACAGAGGGAAGACCGTAAGTGCCATGCTAATTTCACTAGCGCAAGGTTGATGAAAAAAATAAACAAACATTGCAATTAAATTTTAATAACAAACTAAACAAGCCATCGATAGGAATAACGTTTTATTGTTGAAACCCGTATTTTTTTTCTAACTTTTAAAGGCGTCAAATGTAGCAAACCGTATGAGCAACAAAATAATCGAATAATAACATAGATATTCATTGGAATAAAAATCTCGGTTTTTTTGAAGATAAAATATATATTTAGAGTTGTAGACAAAAGTCTGTCCCGTTTGCGTATTAAATAAAGAAAAGTGTTTACATAGCAAACTATTTATCTTTTCAGACAGAAAATACTTTACTCTCAATACTTCTTTTTTTATAGTATGTAGCTGAATCAATGTTTTAGCTTTACAAATCTGACAAACTGATAAATATAGATTACGTGTTATTATAAAAACAAATAACAACATTTGATTTATCACTAGTTCAGTCTAATTTTGGCATTATACTTATAAGATTCATCAGACATATTTACAAAGAATTGGGTTTCCTTATTTAACTGTTTGTTTAATGTGTTTGATTCTTAACAATAAAACATTCCTAATCATTATATTGAGAGTAAAGCACTGTAAACACGCCATTTTTAATAAACTATGACATCCTTAAATAAATTTGGAATGGTTATATTTAAAATCAAAAAATTAATTACAAAGCACTTAATTTCTATCGAAAATTGAAGCTATTTTTTTTAAGTTGAGATTTTTCTATGTTCCTTGGGACTTTTTTTTTTAGAAAAAGAAAACTGTATTTTTAACATTAAAATGCAAATATGTAAGTGCAGATTTCCGTAGTAAATCGAGTGTAATCTATGACATTGTATTCATATTACCTCGGAAGTTTTACAAGATGGGGAAACTAATTCCAATACTTTCTTCAGTATGTGCAGAGGTTAAGCTGAGGTAATACTTGTTTTAGTGCTACACTTATATTGAATTAATAGTTGCATACGTGTGAACTATTCTTCTCTATTATAATATGAACGATATAAAGTATAGATTACAAACGAAAAAAAGCTTTCCTTTATTCTTGAAAAATAAATTTCAGAAGATTAAAAGTCATATCTTATAAAATGCTTCAACTTTGCACCCTCTTTTTGCAAATGAGCTAATCCCAAGAAAAAAAGAACATTTTTGAGCACTATCTATTCTACCTTATTGTCAGTGACCGGGTCAGGTCCATTTACAACCTTGTATCGATTTAACTAGTAAAGTTATAGTGGGATAGAAGTGGAAATTATGAAGTGTATCGAAAAGTTTAGTGAATGGTCTCAAAATTATTTTAATCTCACAATAAAAAAATGACAAGAAACATTTAACTAGTACTCTTTATAATCTAAATCAGGAAAGCCATGTGTCCTTGTACGCTATGACCAATTTAAAACAGTTAATGTCACGAGGACTCTATCTGCACATTGGAGCAATGTGTTACGTCAAATTTCGCTTGAACAAAGACAATGGTGACAGACAAATGGTGATCACGCGAAAGGGTGACGAAGACAAATAGGATGATGGGAAAATGGTACTGTTTAGAAACAGAGTGTTTTTGAATGGTTTAAATTCCTTAGAAAAGGAAAAGCAAATATTTTTTTTATCTTATATAAATCAAGCAAGGGTTGTTCAACGCAAATTGAAAGACACTTCTGCTAACGTTAAAACTTTGTTAATTGCTGTATTACTAGTATCTAGATGCACTGCAGCTAATGCTGATAACTTTAAATTCCAGCAATAACATTTTGCTCTGCTCTCGTACTTTTTTTACTTAGATCTTCTTACCAAGCATTCATAACACACTTTTCAATAACTTCATGAGAACACTAGCCTTTTTTTCTTATTTTAATCCTATTTTAGGAAGAAGCTATAATGTTTCCTTTAAATTGATGCAATTTGCTTATGTTTATCATTTTTTTACTTACTAATGAACATTTTCATTCTATTTAGGTGTACGAAAAAGATAAAGACACGTTTGACATCTCTCAGTCCGCAGATCCAACTTGTGATGGCCTTGTCTCTCCGCGAGATGGATCTAGGATAATGAAACTCAGAAAAAGTATGTAAATAATAGTTATAAACATATAAAATCTACTAAAATATATGCAGAAAAATCAAATGAGTGGAAATTTATGGACATTAATATTCAAGGTGGCATTAAAATATCATTACAGAATCAGCTTTTACACTATAAAAAAATCTTTGTTTATAAGACCAAAAATGGTGGTAGCTACTTCACACCAAATGTCATGTACTGAAACACGCAAGGTGTAATCAGACACTAAAAGCATTTTTTGGTGCAATGAAACTCTAAAAATGTTCTTTTATACTTATTTTGGTGAAAAGTAGTTGCTACGATTTTTTTTACTCAGAAACACTAAATTTTAGAATATTAATAACAAATATGATGCTTATAAGAGTCTGTAAATCTACTTTTATAATACAATTAAAAGTAAGAGCAGTTAGTTTAATAAGTATATTTACACAAATTCTTAAAATAAAATTAGTTTGTTGAAGAAACATGTAGACAATAGAGAGATGATACTAAAACGAAGTCTATTTAGGTCTAACAGAACAGAAATAGTAAGAAATTAAATATCAAAATATTATTTATTGCAACTGAAAGATATTTAAAAGTATAAAAATTCCCATTACTAAGTAAAAGCATACATACATTTTGTAATGGTGAACAGCATGAAAAATTTATAAATTTACTCCATTTTGCATACGATTTCATTTTATATTATAACCGATGTTGCACAGCCTATACAATTCGGAGCTTACGACAATCAATATTCAACTCCGTAACCATCCTTTTTTAACAATAGAATATATTTGATTACTGGGCTACGGAGAACCCAGAACGTAATTTTGTATTGCGTAATTTTGATTGCTAGGCCATGGAGAGCCCAGAAAGCAAGGGGACTCCTGGATCAAGTATTGGAGCAAACTAGAGTTCGTGGAGGACTTTTTATGAATCTAACCCGCATTTGCATTATATGGAGGAAAACTACGAAATCTCTTATTGATAGCAAGCATAGATTCTAATTCATAATCCGACTACACTAAGGATATTTTGAGTCAGCACTGTGGTCGGAGCAGAATTCGTATTGACCATAAACCGCCTGAATCACCTTATTATGAGACGAACGTTCTATCCCCTGAGCAACTGCGGCTTTCATGTAAGCAATTGTAAACAGTCGACTGGCAATATAAGTACACCAAAATTGTCTGCTTTCGATAGCAAAAAATCTAAATACTCCTTCTAAATATTGTTCAACATCAAACTCGCTTAAGCATCATACCATGATTTCTAAAATATAGTATTATATTAGGAAAGAAATATTTCACTCACGTATATTTTGTGAAATATAACATATTTACTGTTAAAAAAAATTACTGGTTGTCATCAAAATAAATATTCATTCTTAAGGAGGAATATATATTTGTGTAGCGGTGACAGATTATTAGATATGCAGAATTAATAAGGCATGGAATGATATGATAACCATCTCAATCATAATGTACAAACAAATAATAAGCCAAAACCTGAAGAGTACATACACCAAAATTAAACAATAGGGGAGAGAGGGTTTACAGAAATAATATGCCCGTAACCTAAAGTTACTTCGTAAATTCTGCCAGATTGATAAAACTGGATTTTACTTCAATATGTAGTTGCGTACTCGATTGTTAAATGGAAAATAAAAAAAAAGTTTTTTTATGAGAGAAAAATAAATTCTTAAATTTTTTTTCATTTGTCAATTTTGGCTATTTTTTTACTTTTTTTAACATTTGAAGATATTTTGCTATAAATGAAAATAGTTATTGTATACCTTAATAATCACTCTTAAATTGACTTTATTTTTAAATAACTGGTAATCAGTTTGAAAAAAAAATAACTCCACTGGATTAGTGTGGGCATATAGTTGTGGGCTAATATGGTTATAAGTTTTCAGAGTATAAACATGCTTATATGGCATATTCATGTTTCTTCTTTTTCAATCAGGTACAACTTCGCAAAAATACGAAGAAAATAAGATAGTTTTGAAATTCCAAAAAATTAAAACTTTATATAAGTGTAACTTCATAATTTTTTTTTACTACAAACAGTCATTAACTCGAAGGAGCAGATAATAGTAGATGAAAAAATAAATATTTTGTTATCGTTGCACTAGTTTACCAGATAAATTTATTGAATGAACACCTTTGAAATTTATGATATTTTGAAGCAATAAATTAAAAGAAGGAATGTAATAAAAACCTTTATTTCAGCAAAACATCCCACATCTGGTTGTCAATTTCCATCTTGGGTAACATCAACAAGAAATTGGCACACATTAGATGGGCGTATGACTTATTATTTCAGTCATAAAAATACAACTTACAGAATTGTTCATCAACACGCAGATCATGCTGAAACTAAAGTCACTTGTACTGATGAAGTTTCATCCACTCCTAATTCAACAACAGTTGTTGCTTACAGTATGCAAGGCTGGTGAGTAAAAGTAGTTGCCATAATTGAATTACAGTATTTACAAATTCATAATGTTTATGTTTCTATTTTCTCACAATATTATATGAAAAATTTAAGCATCTTGTTAACATAGTAGAGCCTATTTTATGCTTTGGGTGCGTATTAGGATGTTTTTAATTCTTTTAAAATGTTAATATAAACAAATAACTCATTTCTTTTTAATAACAGAAACAAAACAAAAAAAATATTTATCTCGGATGCGGTTACATCCGAAATAGCTAGTGTTCTGAAAAAAAAATCCGGTAAAAAATACTGGCACCCTGGGTGCATCATTTGTAAGATTAATTTTACCGTGAAGTCCATTTTTACCGTAAAGTTTTACACCGTATATTTTACAGTAACAATTATTTAACCGCAGTGATTTAGTGATTTTGCGATAATTATTATCGCAAAAAGTTTTACAGTAAAAATTGAATTTGCGGTAAAAATTATCGGCCCCCTGGGTACCAGTACATTTTACCATAATTTGATCCAGATTTTTTTATAGTGTACTGGAAAATATTTTAATTCTACTTACCACCTAGTGTAGTAAATACGAGGAATCAGAAATCTTTCCTGAAAGAGATAGAAACGGAGAGAAGACGAAATTTTGATATTAAATCGCTATTAATTAGGAATTGTTGAAATTATTTTAAGTGTGTTGGATGTCAGTTTAAGAGCGTTAAACTTTTTTTTTATTCCACGAGGTCGTATTGGGGTGTTTTTAATAGTTTCAGACGATATTTTGTAACTTAATTTTTAATCATTTTTAGATTTAAATGCACACTACTCAAATGAAAACACTTAACGAAACATATTTGCGATGCTGTTTAACTAATGCATGAACGCTCGGGTCGAAATCTTGTTATTTCATTTGCGGAAAATGAACGGTGTATGAAAATGTTTTTTTCCAAATAAAATTCAAGCATTATTCGAGATTTTTTTTTATTCTGAGTTCAAAATATAGCACTTTTTACAGTGTTTTACAATGCTTGAATTTATATATTTACTAAAATGTTAAATGTACGATAACAAAATAAAATACGCTATTGAATGCTTCATGTTTCAAAAAGGAGAGAAAGTAGAAGAATACAATTTCTTAAAAATAAATGTTTAATGTTAAAAATAAATGTTGTCCAATTATTTTGTTAATTAAACAATTTACAGCTAGCAATGATTTTGTGCAATAACTCCTGCTTCTAATGTTCAACCGTTCCGTTTTTTTTCTAAATTTTTTAATTAATGAAATTTGCTTAGTAGTGAATCGCACAAATCATGGTTGTTATTTAATTTTTTACTGTTAACTGTTTTACAACACAAAATATTATGGAAAAAATATTATCTTCCTCTTTGTTGTAATATTTTTTGTGTGTCTATTTGTGTCTTTATTCCAATAGAAATGATAAAAATGAAGTATTGTCATTTTTTTCCAAAATATAGCCTTAAATAAAGTTTGGGATGATTTGGATTAATAACTCTATGGATTTTCTTATTTAATTAGCTATTAACAATGCGAAATTTTACTACTGAAAACCGTTCTGATAGTTCACTTCAGTCTATCATGTTTTAACTTCCGTAGAAAAACTCCCTTTAAGTCCACAATGCGCTAAGTTACTTTTCAAATAGTTATAAATTCATCATTCCTTCTACTGAAAATTCAAATCGTGAATTCTTTGAAAAATGAATTTCTTTGAAGCGGAAACTTATAAAAGTTATTTTAGCAATATCCCTAAAGATTTAGTGTGGCAGATGAGAAATTATACCCTTACAATTACTGAAAATAAAAGAAAAACTTTTTTTTAGTTCTCTAATTCTCACTTTTCACGCTTGTATAACTGATACCCATTCAGGGTATCTGTCATTCCTCGTAGAAACAGCTGTGAAGTTGTAAAAGAAAGAAAGGTGAAAGCAGCATCGATCTTCGTTGGTACACGTATCAATTACTGCTTCAGTTTCCCAAATAACTACACTGCAACAGATCGATTTGTTACACGGGTTTTATCTAGACAGGATGGGTCGCTGTAAATTGGACTCAGAACAATACGGGCTTTGTCATCTTTGCCTCAGGAAAAACTTAAAATAAATAAAAAAAAATTGGAATGAAATGTCTTCTGGACGAAAAGATATATTTCTCAGTTCGTTACGGAACAAAAATGTTTGTTGGGCAAATTTCAAACTTATTTTTGTGATTAGTACCATGGGTCGACATCTTTTGTCTAACCATAGCATCAACAAATGATGTTCGATACAACTATTGATAATCATTTTTCAATGGTACTCTTAATGTATGATGTTTTTTTTTAAGTACCATGCTTTCGATTGCCTTTCAAAAATGAATTAGGAAGCAAACTATATGAGTGTCATCCCGAAATCATTGATATTATAAGTAAAATATTTCATATTAAATAACAAAACTACAAAAAATTGACAATTAACGATGCATTTAAGTTAACGAAACGTGTTCTTGGAATTTTAAAACTCTCTCATGTTAATAAAATAAAGCACTTGCGCAATAGACGTTTGATCACCGAGTTGGTTATCGACGCTTTAACCTATATGGTTTTGAGACCAACGACTTGGTGGTACCAAAATAGTCAGCAATGCACACAAGTCGGCCTTCATTTCACATGCGCAATCTAATAATCATTGCTTTGAAGGGGGGTAGTTTTCAAGACATAATTTAGGGCAAAATTCCGGTCCTTTACAATAACAGTTCAGTACCTTGACTACAGGGTCGTCGTTATTTATTTATTTCTATTATTATTTTTAAAAATTTTTTATAATTGTCTTTTAACTATTTGGCAGATAAGGATATATCAGCAAGATTTTTTCAGTTTCATGTGGAAAAAATTTTCTATTGAAATTTTTTTTAATTAAGAGTAAAGGGATAATATGTTTAATAACCAATGCATATTGCGAATGTAAAGGTTGTGACTGTTAAAGTCCCTAGCAGTCCTTAAAAACTTGAACTGAAACTTGACGACCATAGCTCGTTTTACAAGAAATGGAACTCGCATAGGAGAGATTTATTCGATGAAATTAACTCACATTCACTTTATCTGAATACTATTTTACGTTAAGTCTGTAGTTAGTTCAAACCAGTAGAGGATAAGCTAGATGACGTCGAATTACGAACTCAAAGTATCTCTAGTAAAAAGCAAACGATATAGCTGCTAATCTTTTCGGGCTCTTCCTTAATGAGTTCTGTATCAGAAGTAATTTAATTGTGTGCAGACCAATTTCGACAGAAAAATTTTAAATAGTTTTTGCAATGAAAATATTTGAAAAAGAAAAGAAAATTAGTACTTAGTTACTTCCAGTTTTAGTAGAACTCTTACTTAAATAGAAGGTAAAGCGTGTGCTCATGTTGTATATTTCCTGGAGAAAAAAAAACTTTCTGAAATAGTTCTCAACATAAAATTTAACTAAAATTGAAATATCTGTTTATTGTTTATTACTTTTGCTTAAATTCTAGTTGAGATTAAAGGGAAAATAAAGATGTGGTTTTTATATACAGTTATATAGAGATGTACACAGTGATGCACAGTAATTTATTACTATTTATGCAGTAATAATTTATTCAGTGATATTTAGCATTTTTTCTCACATTATTGATTCATTATTTATTAATTTAATATAAATTCTTGCTGGAGGGGGAGATACAATAAGTACATGCGAGCGTTTTTTAAATATTTTTCGAAGAATAAAATGTGATGGTACATTTACGTAGCAATTTTATTCTTCTTTGTTATTCAGTTGCAAATATTGAAGCAGTACTTTGCTTGTATATAATAAGGTGAATTATTACTGAAATCAAAGAATAACCTAGCATGGATACCTAAAGAATAAGTGTGTTCTTTTATTTTAAATAATGTAAATTAAAATTTAAATATAAATTAGCAAGCTTTAACAAGCATTTTCTAAATATTTAAAAATTTATTTAATTATTAGCTATGCTGAAATATTTTTTTTTATAATTATGGTATATTTTAAAAAATTTCATTCTATTATGGACAATATATAAAATAAAATGTTTTTTTTTCTCTTTTAGCTCTAATGGGTTTGTTTGTCTGACATTTCATCAAAGAGAGCGACACATAATTGAAATCCAAACAGGTAAGGCTCATTAAATACATTAAAACTAATCTAACCTCCTTTGTATGTGAGATATATAAAAACACTTATTCGAATTCCAGTTTCATTTTTAAAATGTCCTTAATGCTAGTAACTTTAAAAAAAACTGTATCATTAAGTTTTTTTAGGAAGTAAAATGTACTTCCGTAAGACCATGTAGGGCTATTCAATTCACACATCCCCAAAAGAAAATTTATGACTTCCTGCATTCAACGATGAGACGGAGGAAAAAGCACCAACATAAGAAATCGATTTCAATTTAAAATAGCAGGTCCCTTATTATTTATTTTATGTCAAAACACCCCAAGAGAAAAAAGTAAAAATGATGTTAGAGGGTAAGAAAGAAGACATGCCCATTTCTATTGATTAATAGCAAAAATAATAATTAGTTCTTTTGTATCTCTATACATTAGCAATTAATGGTACATCAATTTTAGAGCAACGTAATACAGCTTATATTATGCATAGTAATATCATTATAATGATAGCGAATTAGCATGTTAACGACGACCACAAAAGTTCTCTTAGTATAAGAAAAAAATTAATTATAAATTTTTTTGTATTACCTAACATTTTTAAAATAAATTCAGCGGTATTATTTTTTATTTTTTTAAAATCTGAATATGAACTTAGAAGGTATTCGGGAAAGATATATTTTACAATGTAAATTAATCCATTGTGCTTAAAATGTATTACTTTAAATTTTTTTTAGCTTTATATATTAACTCGTAGTTATAAATACTTCTCAGCAATAGATAATTTTTAAGGTAAAGTCGCGGGGTTAGAATTACTGTTACTTATTTTTATGTTTAAAATAATGCATTTGCTTACTAAACAATCTTCTAAGAGCCATTATTTTTTTAATGTATTCGTTTTTAAGTTGCAGATTGTAAAATAAGTAATTTTAATACAAAAATATTAAAAGTTGTTTTATTTTTATAAAATACATTACTATACCATATCTGCAATGAATTTCTAATTTTTTCATATTCTGCACTTTATATGTTTGCAAATTTCAGCTACATAAGGAGTGTCTAAGAATTAGAAATTAAATTTTAAAAAAAATATAGTAAAATTTTTATAGATTATTTTGATTATTAAAATAATTTTTTTCAATAAGTAAATAAAAATATATTCTTAGTTTATTTCATTAACTTTTTCCGTAAAACAACTACGTGTCAAAATGTGTTAAAATATTTTAGAAATATACTCTTTAAATCATTTATTTATTGTATTTATTATTCTTATGTATGTACTTAATATATAAATTACAGTAAATATTAACAATGGCAGAATAGAAATCAGCATGAATAAAAGAAAACTAGCTAGAAGAAAAAACCCTTTTAAAGCGAATTGGATATTACTAAGTATTCGAAACAAATCAATAAACTCTCTTTCTGATTATTAATATTTATAAAAACAATCTAAATACGCAATATTTTAGTCACTTAGTCTCTTAGTCATAACAGTTACAAGGGAATTTTTTATGAGTTCTCTTTGGTTCTGAAAATAATGTCGTAAGTATCTTTCTCTTTTCTTTTTTTAAATAGGAATTTCAATAAAGAAATTTGAGGATTAGGATTTGTCAATTTCTCTAGTTTAAATAACAACCGTATCTCTTTGACATTGAAAAGCTCTTCCGCTGTTATTTTTTTTTTTTAATATTTGAAAAATTACTAAGACACTGGAATATTTTTGCTCTTAAAAATTTGTAAATAGGATGAATTTTTTATTTATTTTTGAATAATTTTGTGCTACGTAAAAAAATGTTGCTAAATTGTCATTTTTTTAAAAAAATATAATAATAATAAAAAAAATATTAAATGTATTTGCCAGTTTGAAAGTTCATTCAACGCATTTCAGCGGGAAATAATGTATAGTTTGAGGTATCCGACTGTATCGATTTTCTTTTTGGTAACAAAATTATTTTTTTTAAAATAAAAATAAGCGAAAATTTGGATACAAAATCTACAAATTCTAGTTGTCGTGCTAGTAGCTCTACACCAATTCGTAAGGCATAAAAAAACTTTTCTGAATCAAAAATGCTTCAATGAAAACTGTTATAATATATGTAATAATGACATTTATATTTATGAAACCTGCGTTTCGAAAATAAAATCTTTAAAAAAATTCAAATAACCAATGCAATGAAACTAAACATATTGTTCAATATTTATTTACTTAAATCATCATAACAATAACAAATTCAAACTTAGATTTTAGCTTTTAATTCAAAATATACCTAAAATTATACAAATATACATAAGGAGTTTCAAAGATCTTTGAAATAAGTGATAGCGTAAGGAGATGTTCTGCAAGTTAACGTTCTTCTGAAAATGCATTTAAAGTATGTAATTTCCTAAGAAAAAAAACTAAATAAATTTTTCTTATATGAATAAAATAACTTGAAATTATAACTTTTATTTTCATCTTAAAAATATTTAAAGAGCTAATTAAGCAGAATTTCAAGCATAGTCAATGAGAAAAAAAAGTTAAATTTTCATCGAAATTGCCTTTTTTCAAACAGTCGGATACCTTAAGTTCAGAGTTCTAGTTCAGAGCCCTCAAACTGGGGATATTTTGAACAATATCCCCAGTTTGTATGGAAGAAAATATATGGAAGAAGGGAAACGGGATAACACCGGGTAGTTAAAATTCGAAGGCCTGTTAGAGCTAAACTATATATATATATATATATATATACGGNTATATATATATATATAATATCCCACTTTCCCTACATTAGGAGAGGTCTTATCCCACTGTCCCCTTCATTAGGAGAAAAGATTTGTTTAAAGAGAATGATTTATCATTTGTTGAAATAGTGTTGTTTTTTTTAAATTTTATAATGGTGTATAGATAAATTTCAATTTGTAAAAATTAATTATAACAATAGTTGGAATTTCGTGCAAATTTCGATAACGAAATTCAATTTATCTTTGATAGAAATAACCGGAATAAAAAAAATAACTTTGACGAAGCCATCACTTACAACCAAGTTGGGCTTAATTTCTACTTGTGCACAACAATTTTAAAAAATTACCTCGATTTTTAATTACATTTCAAATAAAATCCTTGTCTCTCTGTGAACAAAAAATTCAAGAAATTACATTAAGATTGACGTTAACATAACATTAAATTGGTGTCTCTACATTACTATTAAACTTTTACGGTAAATTATAGGGGAGAAGTTGGCTTAATTAATTTTAATAGAAAATCATGATGGATTTGTTTTCATCTCCTGCGTCTTCACGACCAATTTTTAGCAAATATCATCTGGTACGTGCATGCCTACATTTACAATATGAATATTATTGAAACATTCCTTTAAATAGATATAAAATTAACAAAAGAAAGATTGATGCTATATGATATAATGGTGTATAGATAAATTTCAATTTGTGAAAATTAATTATAACAATAGTTGGAATTTCGTGCAAATTTCGATAACGAAATTCAATTTATCTTTGATCGAAATAACCGGAATAAAAAAAATTACTTTGACGAAGCCATCACTTACAACCAAGTTGGGCTTAATTTCTACTTGTGCACAACAATTTTAAAAAATTACCTCGATTTTTAATGACATTTCAAATAAAACCCTTGTCTCTCTGTGAACAAAAAATTCAAAAAATTACATTAAGATTGACGTTAACATAATATTAAATTGGTGTCTCTACATTACTATTAAACTTTTACGGTAAATTATAGGGAGAAGTTGGCTTAATTAATTTTAATAGAAAATCATGATGGATTTGTTTTCATCTACTGCGTCTTCACGACCAATTTTTAACAAATATCATCTGGTACGTGCATGCCTACATTTACAATATGAATATTATTGAAACATTCCTTTAAATAGATATAAAATTAACAAAAGAGAGATTGATGCTAAGCACATGACAACAAATGTTTTTAACCAGAAAATTATTCAACAAATAAGTATTCATATCATAATTAAATTAAAGATTAAATGGAAACTTTATATACTTTTTTATATACTATACCTTATTACTTTTCCACTTCTTTTATCATTTGTTGAGAAAAAAAATTGAAATCGACTTTTCTCAGGGCGTTCTTTGCTAACTCGAAGTTGGTAATTGATTGATTAGCACGATAGACTAGCATTATTTATTCTCGGAAATCCAAACTGACGTAAAAGGCACTCAGTTCCTCTCTTAAAAAATTATTTTTGAAAACCATCGGTTTTCGAGGCACGTTATTAACGACTTAACGTCGTACCGTGACGAAACGAGAAATAAAAATAACAAGAAAAAGAAAGAAAAAAAAACGCACATAAGGCGATACGAGCAAGCTTCTAAATTGAATTTCTTGCGTGTTTATGAGTTGCGTGTTATCACGTAATTTGACTATCTCTAATATGTTAGAACGGAGAAATGTTGTTGGACGCTAGCAGCCAAGTATGCCTCTGAAAAATTGACTATGACGTGCTGTCTGCTGCTAAAATTGATCGGATTCTAACTTAAAATCGCAACTCCGTGCTAAAAAGTAATGTACCACTATCGAAAACGCGTTTTTCTGCAGATAAGCTTCATTGCAGTGATCTTGTACTGCAAGCAGTGTCCTTTTAACGGAAATGTTCCGATAACAGCGTAGCTTATTCACGGAAGAATGGTCTTCTATGTTATCAACTGGGATTAGTCTTTTACATTGTTTGAACTAGATTTGTAGACAAAGAGGAGTAATGGGATGTATAAAGGGATTTTTTTCAACAAGTGTTAGGGATTTTTTTTGTATATATGTGATATGATGTTATAGTTATAAGTCAGGAAGTAAGGAGATTTTTTTAGATAGATTAAACTGAATGGAATCCTTGAATGGAAGGAGAAAAAGATAAATTTTTAGGGTAAAAAGTATAAACAGTCAGGATCGAAGTAATTCAATTTTTTTAAGTGAATTATTATTCGAGTACTATGGGCCAGGAATTATTATTATTGAATAACTAATATTCATGAATTCGC